GATGGCAGTTCAAACGAGTCTTCTGCGCAGCAGCCGGTCGGTTCAGTTTCCTCACCTGTCCGGCCACTCCGTGACTCTGGGTTGTTGGGTTCAGGCCATTGAGGTTAAGCCAGCTTGTGTGGTGTGCTTTCAGAATCTTTGTGTAGTTGGTCTCTGCTAGGAGGCGTTCAGTGCATCTGGCAGCATGTGAGCACTGGATTGGTGATGTGCTTCTTGGGCTGTGACGTGTGTGTTGCGTACTGCGTCTTTGAGTTTTAATGGTGACATACCTGGATGAAATATTTTTGTTCCGAGGTTTCCAACTCAGTGTTGGATAGGGTTTCTTGAGAAGCTGGGCTGTGATTTCGTGGAGGCTCCCTTGTTGTAGATGTTTGGGGTTGGCCGTCTTTCTGTCTCTGACCCTTGCCGTGTTAACTGCATCGTGTCTTCTTGGTTCTTGCTTGGGTCTGTTCTGATCACATCTCTGCGTTTCCTGCCTCGGGGACACTGTAGAGCTTCAATTGAGGAAGTTTGGGGCTGTAATTTTCTGCGTTAACACTTCTACCCAGTCTCTTCTAGGCCCCAATTTCTAGTGCTCTTATTCTTCTTTATTCTTGCTTTTCTTTTGTTCTCGGCTGCTAGAATGCCGGGTTGTTCCTCCGCTTCTTTCATTCTGCTTTGTCCTCTGGTGTGTACTTTTGGCTCGATGCTCTTCTGATCATTGATTTTTTTTTTTTATTTAATTTGTGACTTTTTTTTTCCACTCGATTTTTTTATGTATTTATTTTGATTTCTAATAGAAGTTTTCTCATGTTTTCTGTTACTGGAGCTTTCCTCTATTGTTTTCTTTCCCCTTTTTTGCAGGGGTGGGGGGGCAGACACACACGCAGTGATGCTCAGGGCTTACTTCACGCAGGGATTACTTCCGGCAGGGCTCAGGGGACCATATTGGGTGCGGGAGCTTGAACCCAGATTGGCCGTGTATCAAATGCCTTCCAGCCTGAGTGTCCTCATTCTACCCAATACTTCAACTGCTCCCAGTTAGGGAGCTAGGGAGAGAGACAGAGGAGTTCCTCAGTGAGGGCAGCCTTTGGGGGATCAGATGTGTAGGAATCAGGCTGACCTTTTTTTCCAGCCGGGGTGGAAAAGGCCATTTAATAGATTCTGCCACCCGTGGGGCTGTAGTGGTCATAGTGCAGGCAGGGCGCTTGCCTTTCATGCAGCCAACCTGGGTTTGAACCCGGCACCCCAGAAGGTCCCCCAGAGCACCCGCCCAAAGGAATTCCTGAGTGCAGAGCCAGGAGTAGCCCCTGAGCATCCCTGGGTGTGACCCAGAAACCAAGGGTATGGGGGGGATAGATTCTGGAACCCAGAACCAAAACTGTTGGGTGCTCAGTAAGTGATTCTAGAGTACCATAGCTTGTGAGCTGTCTAGAGTAAACTCAAAATCTCCTACTTCTTGTTAGGAGCACGCCTAAGGGAGGTGGCCATTTAGATGGGGACGTGAAGCAGCAGTCCTCCTTCCCAGGGTGCCTTGACCCTACACTGTCAGCAGCTCTTGTGAGATAATACCCATCCCTTTTATTGTCCGGGGGAGGTGGCTTTGGGGTCCCACCCAGCACTGCTCAGGGCTTACCTCTAGCGCTCTGCTCAGGGCTCACTCCTGGCAGTGCTCGGGGGACCCTCCTGGGTGCTGGGGAGAGAGCCCAGCAGGCACCTTCTGTCCCGTCCACTATCTCCAGTGCAGAACTCTTTTAAATTTTTTTTTAACCCCAGGAGTCGGGGGGAGGGGAGGTCGAGATGGTAAGTGCCAGCCTTCTTGGTTTCCTTAGAAACCAAAATGTCTTCCCTCGATGATGAAACACAGCAGGAGACACCTTGATCACTCTCAACACCTAAGAGATTCTGAGAACTCGGGCAGCTCTGGGCCACACACTGGATGGAAACCAAATACGGGTCCCAAAGATACACGTGCACTTCCTATGCTTAGTCTTGGTTTGGGGCCACCGCCCAGCAGGGCGCAGGGACCGCTCTCTTCACTTAAAACAGTGCCACAGACAGACCAAGACCGGAGACAGGAGAATTAACTCAGTGGGCGTGGGGCATGCTGACCCCTGGCTCCCTGTGGTCCCAGCACTGGGTAAGGGAGGGGGGAACCCCCAGGCACTACACTTGGGCCGAAAACAAGCAGCAAACGGACCGAGTCAGAATACTCCTGCGGCCAACCACCCCACTCTGGCTGACGGGACACTTGCTTCCCGGCGTGACTCAGCCTCCTGCCTCGTTAGCGGACAGCGGTGCTGACCCCTGCTTCTGCTGCTGCTACTAACACACCCCGCTCCGAGCTGAGTCCTTATCTCTTCCTTTTGGAAGAAGAGCCATCCCCTGTGGCCGGCTTTGAGCATGTTGCCATGGTTACCGAGTGAGTGGGGCACTGCTCTTCCCCCCCCCACCCCCTTCCCAGAGTGAACCTTGCAGTGACCTCCTGTACTTCCCTATTTCTGTAACTGTGACTTTTTTTCCTAAGAGGAAGTTTAATTACTGTGAAATGTCTCTCCTCCGTGACACACTGTACTCTTGGTCTCCGCCAGGGCTGGTCGAGAGAATGTGGGATCCTGAGACCAGATGCCCTGATTTGTTGTTTGTTTGTTTTTAATAGAATCACTGTGAGATAGTTACAGGCTTTCATGTCTGGGTTACAATCACACAATGATCAAACACCCATCCTTCCACCAGTGCACATTCCCCACCACTAATATCCCTGGTATACCCCCCCCTTCCCACCCTCCCCCTGCCTCCATGGCAGACAAGATTCCCCATAATCTCTCTCTCCTTTTGGGCATCATGGTTTGCAGTACAGACACTGAGAGGTTATCATGTTTGGTCCTTTATCCACTTTCTGCACACATCTCCCACCTGGACCGATTCCTCCAGCCATCTTTTTCTTAGTGATCCCTTCTCTATTCCAGCTGCCTTCTCCCCTTTGCTCATGAGGCAGGCTTTCAGCCATGGAGCAATCTACCTGTCCCATGTATCTACTATCCTTAGGTGTCAGCCTCATGTTGTGTTGTTTTATACTCCACAAACGAGTGCAGTCCTACTATGTCTGTCCCTCTCTTTCTGACTCATTTCACTTAGCATGATACCCTCCATGTCTATCCATTTAGAAGTAAAGTTCATGACTTCATCTCTCCTGACAGCTGCATAGTATTCCATTGTGTAGATGTACCAGAGTTTCTTTAACCAGTCATCTATTCTAGCAGATACCCTGATTTTTAAACCGACAAGGCCGACAGCCCCCTCTGCACAGTACGCAAGCAGGGTTGTGCCAGGGGCGATCAAGAGGTGGGGCAGAGAGGAGCCTCTTGCTGTCACTGTCGCAGCCCCTGTCCCCACTGCTCTGCTGGCCCTTTACCCACCAGAGTGTCCCTGCCTGAGCCCCGCCCTGCCCACATCCTCCTTCCTGCTCCTCGAAGAGGCTGAGCCCTGGGAAGTGACCGGGGGTGGAGCTGCTCCTTGACGGGCCTGAGAAGTGGGGTGGAAAATTACTGACTCCCGACCAAGCTTTCCTCTGGAGAGGTCCCGCGCGTATTGGGTGGCTTCCGAGCGGAGGCAGGGCAGAACTGCTGTCCGCTGTCACCTGCGCCTTCCGGGCTCCCTTACTCACAAAACGGCACCAGGACCTGTTGGAGAGGGAGAGAAAATGCGGGCTACGGAATTTTCATGGGCCGCTCGTCCTGTCCGTTCTCTCTCTGCCTTGCTTGTCCCTCTCTGGCTTTGGTTTTTCCTTCTCCCCCTTTATATCTTTTAAGTATGATTAAAAAAAAAAAAAACTCTCCAGCTTTGGGGCTGGAGTAATAGCACAGCGGGTAGGGCTTTTGCCTTGCACGTGGCCAACCCGGGTTCAATCCCCAGCATCCCATAAGGTCGCCTCAGCAACCGCTAGGACTAATTCCTGAGTGCAGAGCCAGGAGGAACCCATGTGCATCAACAAGTGTGACCCAAAAAGCCCCCCCAAAAAAAAAAATTTCCGAAGAGGTTTCTCCATCACTACTGTCCTAGGCAGCTGCACCATGAGTGCTCCTGAATGAGGGGAGATGTAGAAGCTGAGGTGCAGAACGAAGTTTCTAGAAAAGGGATTTTGTCTTTGTAGCTTAATGAATAAGCCTGCTTTATGGGTGGGATCGGGGGCAGTGGTCAGGGCTTACTCCTAGTTCCGTGCTCAGGAATTCATCCTGGTGGTGCTCCGGAGACCGTACAGGATGCCAGGGATCAAACCCAAGTCGTTCAGTTGCAGAACAAGCACGGTACCCACCGTCCTCTCTCTCCAGCCCGGAACCTGACCGTTTTATGATGGTATTCTCGGGCCTGGAGGGATAGTACAATGGGGAGGGCATTTGCCTCGCTCGGCTGACCCAATGCTGGTCCAACCCAGCATCCCATATGGTCACCCCGAAAACCTCCAAGAGTAATTCCTGAGTGCAGAGCTGGGAGTAACTCCTTGGCACTGCCGGCGTGGCCCCAAAACCAAAAACAATAATAGCAACTAAATAAGCAAGTCCCTCTCTCTTAACTCTGCGTTCTCTGTTTCCTTCACCGATTTAAGTCCAGGACCCAGCAGCACGGGACCCACCCGTAGTATCCAGTGGCTGAAGTGGCGAGTGTTTCTGCCATAACAGTCAGCGCTGTTACGTCCCTGGAAAGTAAACAGGGAATCTCAGGTGCCTCGTTCTTTGAAGGACCTAAGCGAAAAGCCAGACTCATACTGTGGGATACAATCACAATCACAAATCATCCTGTTAATCGTCGATTGCCTCGAGCAGGCCCCAGTAACATCTCTTTCATCCTAGCCCTGAGATTATATTCAAGGCTCTTTAGGAGAATGAGACCCATCGTTGTTACTGGTATTTGGCATATTGGGTACGCCACGGGGAGTTTGCCAGACTCTGTGGGGTACACACAAAGGAAATGGCTCCTTGCGAAAATCAGGTGTGATTTCTTTCTGTTCTTCCTTTAATCAGGTGGCCTCCTTAGCGGGACTCGGAGGGCAAGTGGAAATTGAACAGAACTTCCTGAATAATAAACTGAAGACAATCACCGCCTATTTCGGGGACCTCATCCGAAGATCAGCCCCTGAAACCTAGCTGTGAAGTGGAACCGGGACAGCGAGATTCGAGTGTTTTCACCTGCTGAATTTCTTGGAATTTCCTTAGTCACTTGGAATTTCTTCAGTCACTCTCGTTCCATACAGAGTCTGAAATCGCCACACGAAATGGCAACAGGAGAGTTCGAAATGTCCAGGAGATTCCGAATGTCACTGAAGTGCTCTACGCTGCTCAGGATCATTACCTCTGTCCATAAGCGTAAATTCTGGCATGAAAGAGGCTCCTCTCCCCCCCGACCCCCATCTCCTGCCCAGCCGCGCCAGTGCTTTGGATCCTGTTTGCTGTAATAGCCTTGGCTGGAGGTGGGTGCTAAGTTGTCTTATACCAAGACCAGCTGGGTCAGCCTGATTCTCCACCATCTAACCCCTACTGAAATAATGGTCCATATTTTAGTCACGGTCCCCCCCGTTGTTCATCGATTTGCTCAAGGAGGCCCAGTAACGGCTCCATCGTGAGACTTGTTACTGTGTTTGGCATATTGACTACATCACGGGGAGCTTGCCAGGCTTTGCTGTGTGAGCAAGATATTTCCTCGGTAGCCCATATTTTAGAAACCTAAAATATGTCAGTTAGTGCTGAGCTGGAACTTGGCCACCCCTCTCCCTTCTCCTTTGCCCAACGGCCCAGGGGTCACTCCTGGCCACACGAGTGCCAGGGGTTGGACCTTGGGCGGCTGTGTGCCAGGCGGCCGCCTACCCCATGCTCTATGGCTCCGGCACCTGCATTTTCACTTGTGTCTCTGGAGCTTGTTTCTTGTCAGTGGCTGCATGCGAGCATGTCCCCCTCACCCCTGAACGGCCAGCCCCGGGCACACCACCCTTCATCCCACTTCCTTAGGATGGAGCCGCCTTTCAGAGTTTTTGTCCTCCTGTTTTGTTGTGTGCGTCTCGGCTACTGGTGCATGCGTCCCTCTCCCGATCTGGGCCTCCTCCAGCATTTTAACATTTGTTAATCTTGTGAGCAAAACAGAATCCTAGTTTTTTTTTTTTATGTATTTCCCTAATTACGAATGAAATTCGAGCATATGAGCAAGCAGCTCGCTCCTTTTAAAATCATTCTTTTAAAAAGTTACCCCTGATCACGACTCTTTGGATTATCATTTTCTTAATAATACGTGTGGACATTTGTAAATTGAAGAGCCCTTGGGCCCAGAGTGATAGGACAGTGAGCAGGGCACTTGCCTTGCCCGTGGCTGACCCTGGTTCCATCCCCAGAATCCCATAAACTCCAGGAGGAGCGATTCCTGAGCTCAGAGCCAGGGGTAAGCCCTGAGCATCTCCAGGTGTGACCCACCCCTCCCTCAAAAAAAAAAAAGAGCCCTTAGTGTTAATGGGTATTACAACTATATCCAATGTGTAATTCATCTTTAGAATTACTTTGTGATTTTTAAATTTAAACGTATGTCAAGTTTTAAATTTTCGCATAGTTAGACCTAGTAGATTTTTTTTTCCTTGCTGCTGGATTACATCCTTTCGAAAGGTCTTATGTCCGTTTGTAGTTTGTCAGTACATATATTGTTTTATAAAGTTGGTGTTTTTTAATTTTCAGTGTAAAAAGTAATATGTATATTTTGTAATTTAGGCATTTATAATCTTTCTAATAAAAAGTCAGCTAAAGATAAAAACTTTTGCTTAATCACTCATCGGAATGGTTCATTCACACATTTTCGCAAGCAGTAAATAATAGGGACCAAAGGAGTCTCTACCTTTGAGTTTGGGGCATTTCTCTTTTAATAGCATGAGCTATTAAATAGTGAATTTAGGGGCCAGAGCGATAGTACAAAGGGTTTGATCCCCAGCACACGTATGGTCCCCGAGGCTGCCTGGAGTGATCTCTGAATGCAGAGCCAGGAATAAGCCCTGGGCAACAGCTGGGTGTGGCCCAAAGCCAAAATAAATAATTTAATGTTAAATAACAGACTGCCAGTGGAGCCCCCCGGGAGGCCAAACGGAACAGGAAAGAGCTGTTGCAAAACGGAGAAGCAGTGCCTGCTCCAGGCTCTCATTAAAGTCTCCAAGGCTGGGGCTGGAGTGATAGCACAGCAGGTAGGGCGTTTGCCTTGCACGCAGCCAACATGGCCGACCCTGGTTCGATTCCCAGCATCCCATATAGTCCCCCGAGCACCGCCAGGAGCCAGGAGTAATTCCTGAGTGCATGAGCCAGACAGAAGTAACCCCTGAGCATCGCAGGGTGCGACGCAAAAAAAAATAAAATCTGCAAGGATGGACACTGGAGGGGTGTCTCATCGCCTCACTGCACTAAGATCGAGCTCATCAGCAAGGATTATGTTGTTCAAATGAATTGTTGTTATCTGTCAGCGTGCTCCATTTTTATACTTCACGTTGCTTTATATATGAGCGTGTAGATAGACGCACGCTTACTGGCAGGCATTGGTCGCCCCACAGCGTGTTACTTCGCCACTTGCAGTGGGAGGTGGTGACGTTAAAACAAACTCCACAATTACTTTTCAGGTTTTTTTTACTTAGCCTTTGGACTGGAGCGATAGCACAGCAGGTAGGGCGTTTGCCTTGCAAGCGGCCAACCTGGGTTCGATTCCTTTATCCCTCTCGTAGAGCCCAGCAAGCTACCCGTGACGTATTCGATATGCCAAACACAGTAACAAGTCTCACAATGGAGACGTTACTGGGCCCGCTCGAGCAAATCGATGAACAACGGGAGGACAGTGCTACAATGCTACTTAGCCTTTAGTTCATATACTTAATTTCCTGGAGGTCTTGAACCAGCCACCACCATGCTGAGACCACTCTCCGCATGCATGAAGGTACCAGCAGAGGAACAAAGGCATGCGGGTCCCGGAGCTGAGATCTCCAAGCCTGCTCAGATCAGGGCTGAGCATCCTCCACCCAGATCCTCCATCTTCCAGTAGGCAGGGGTCACACTCACCAACTGGCCCCCTGGCACCGTGTAATCCCATCAATGGCCAAGACTTAGAGGCTATAAAACCCAGCTCCCGGACATCTTATTATCTCATTCCTACTTTGGACAAACTGGCAGGCTACCGAATGTAACTTGTCCACACGGCAGAGTCTGGCAAATTCCCCGTGGCGTACCCAATATGCCAAATACCAGTAACAATGATGGGTCTCGTTCTCCTAAAGAGCCTTGAATATAGCACTTTCTTAAAAGTCTCAGGGCTAGGACGAAGGAGACGTTACTGGGGCCTGCTTGAGGCAATCGACGAATAACAGGATGGTCGTGATCGTGATCGTGACTCATTTTCCTGTTACATTTTCTTACCAGCATATTGTTCATAATACAATCAGTTTGTCTTCCTGAATACCCAGAACCTCACCTAAGTGTAATAGGAAGCCTAAGACTGAAATATTCCCGCCCACTAATTGCATACATCTAACTGATTCCTTGGGGTTTGCAGCCACACCCAGCCGCTCAGCCTTCTTCCTGGTTCTGTGGATCACTTCTGACAGGGCTCAGGGGACCTCATGCAGTGCCAGGGATTGAACCAGGCCAGCTGTGCGCAGGGCCTGAGCCCCTCTACTGACTCTTTGGCCATATAGAACTGATTTATAGACTCGTTTATAAATTGTTATGATCAGAAGAATTTTAGAAATGTTCTAGTCTGTTTTATGACCTCAGTTCAAATAAATTCTTCGTGAGAACTCAGACATCGAAGCTATTTGTATAAAATAGAAGGAAGGAAGAAAGCCCATGTTTTGGTCCAACTTTTTATTTTTTTTTTCCTGTAAAGTTCAACTTGTATGAAATTTAAATGCATAAGTACATACTTTTAAATTTTGAATCTAAATGAACTCAAGGAATGAGCACGCCCCCATTCCAGTCTCCCGTATTTCCTTATTCTTGGCAAAGTCAACCACAGTTGAGGAAGTTCTTTTACATCATTTTCCTTTACAGTAAAAGTTCGTGGGCTGGGAGGAATTGGAGCACATGAAAGTGGGCAAATGACCAACATAAAGGAGAGGGAGGGGGAGGAGAGAGAGAGAGAGAGAGAGAGAGAGAGAGAGAGAGAGAGAGAGAGAAGAAGAAGAAGAAGAAGAAAAGTGCTTGCCATAGAGGCCGGTGGAGGGATGGATGTTGGAACATTGTATGACTGGAAACCATAATGAAAGCTTTGCAAATATCTCACAGTGATTCAATGGAAAAGGAAAGAAAAGAGACAGGAAGAAGGGAGGAAAGGAGGGAGGAAGGGAGGGAGGGAGGGAGGGAGGGAGGGATAAAAGTTATTAAAAACTATATAGCCAGAGAAAATATAAATAAAAAGAAAGCAGCCTACCAAAAGGGAGAAAATATTTGACTTTATACATATAATCTGGTAAGAGATTAATACCTAAGGTCTATAAAAAATAATAAAAACAACAAAAATAATTAAAAAGTCACAGATGATTTGAATAAACATTTTCCTAAAAAGAACATACTGATGGTTCACAGGCATTTGAAAAAATTCTTAACACTGATAATCAGGGAAATACAAATGAATGCGATCCAGTTAAAAACCGTTATTAATCAAATTTTATATCATCACCCAAAACAGTTAAATTGGGACTAGGGAGACAGGACAGAGATTAAAGCACTTGCTTTGCATGGGCCCACTTGCATCTGATGCTGCATCACGTCTGGTTCCCTGAGCACCAACCATCAGGAGTGACCCCTGAGCACAGAGTCAGGAGTCAGCCCTGAGTCTGCCGGGTGTGACCCCAAATCCAAATCAAGAAATAGTTAAGTGGGCTGGAGCAATAGCACAGTGGGTAGGGCATTTGCCCTGCACATGTCCAACCCGGGTTCAATTCCCAGCATCCCATATGGTCCCCTGAGCACCACCAGGAGTAACTCCTGAGTGCAGAGCCAGGAGTAATCACTGAGCCAGGAGTAACTCCTGAGCATAGCAGGGTGTGACCCAAAAATTAAAATTAAAAAAAAAGAAGAAAGGTAGCAATATTTTTACAATATTTTACAATATTTTGCACCATTTGTTAAAACAACAC